TGTCTTTCCGATTATATTGGACGTCATACCCGTTAAGGTTATGTCCATTTGAAAATATAACTCTAATGCGCAGGCGTATCATATGAATTACTCCGAAATTTTGTTTGCTTGTGTCATACAGGTTGTAGAGAAAATCTTCAATATTTTTTCATGCAAATTTTCAGCATAATTATGACCATCTCAAGAAACTCATTGTTTTAACAAAATAGAGGAAGGTCGGACAGTAAGACTCTCAACAGGTAGAGTATTGTGGTTCCCTGAGAGCATGGAAGCTCCATGTTTGCCAGATGTGTGTGCCATATGGTGGCGCTAACGATTTGCCTGGGAAGAAAGTATAACAGAAAGGCGCGCTCACCAGGTCGGTTGGAATTGATATTGTGACACTTATGCAAGAAATAATCTAAAATCAGACATCAACTAGATTTCTCATTCTAGTGTTACAGGAAATAAGATTGTAGATACTATGGACTCTAGAATATCTCCCTGCTAAATGTTTAAGCATATTCATCATTTTTTGCTTAAAGAAAATCTGTTAAATGTCTACTGCTCTAACTGTGTATTTACATCTCAAATATTTAGTATGCCAGCAGGAAAAACTTTCACAGAAGATAGAATAATGCTACCATTACTTACGTTAAGAGTCATGGCTTTACAAGAAATCTTATCCATCTACTTAAAACTAGTATGTATAATGTCTATTAAGAACTTTATTTTTAATACATGATACAAACACTGTTCCCAATTATATAAGAATTACCTCACATGAAAATATCGATAAATGCGTCCCAGATACCTAGTGTTGAAAACAGCAGTCCTTTCTATCCAGAACTAGTTATATAATTATCTTCTTGAATAGCCGGGTACTCTGAAGCAATACAAACAATACCTCGATGTTATTTCTACAGTCTTATAATAGTAGTCAATACCAGTAAGTGTTATAGAAGGATTTATGTCAATGTTAAAAAGTTTTAGATCCTTCTCCTTTATATATCGGTGTCAAGAACAAGGGTTGTTCACAGATAGATGGCATACAAAATACACGTTGGTTACACTATTTTTTAAACAACTATTATTAACAGTGCTTGTGCTACATCACCTACCTGTCACGATTCTTTTAACACAGCACCTTATGACTGAGCCTCCTCTGAAAATTCTTCATATACAGCAGGAGTCACTTAAGCTATTGCAGCTAGTGATAATACGAGTACATTCTTAGGAAATTCTACTGAGTGCAGTCTCGTACAGAAGGGCAGATATACTATCTGTATTGCAATGTGAATCATAGAACAAATATAATTTGAATACGACGAAGAATCGACAATTTTTTTACTACTAACCCGAGAAAGCATCATTATTGATGGGAAAGTCTGAGAAACACCAGGCTCCCGCACTACAATATGGCTATAGCGCATTACGGTGGGTTTGTGAACTATCGTGACAATTAGCAAACACCTACTTTATCATAACGTCTTTGTCAAGTAAGATGAAATTCATCCAAATTTATTCATTGAGGATACATGTTCGGAAAAATGTATTGTTCAGTTTGAGTGATGATATTCGTGTATTGGAAAAACCCCAACAAAGAATCAATCCGTCGAATTTTGGAAACTACTAGTAAATTTAGCAGAAATAGCAGAATTATATTTGTATATTGGGCAATATTCTCGCTAGGAATAAAAAATGCAGATAAATTAAAGGTAAGTTATATATATTTGTCACTACAGTTTCATATTCGAATACAACCTAAACTATTTTTGGTTTTTGTTTGCTTATATACTGTTCTTTTGAGGTGGATGGTTGTTCCTGAAATCGTCGACGAATGAACGTAACCCCTTTAAATATACAAATAATATGGAACACTATACTACCAGTGAATATATTGACGTCCTAATGTCGGCATCTTTAGGGCACTACAGACGTACGCCCACCAACAAAAATGACGTCATTATGAAGGTCTAATGTCACACCTAATTGACGTCATTACATGACGTCATAATATGTTGTATAAAAGACCAAACACAAATCGGTATGACATGGATACGTCTATCTGAGGTCGATATGACGTCACTGTGACGTCGATGTGACGTACAGTCGCTGGCAGAAGTAACCGAGCGGCGGATCCAAATGCTCTTGAAAAATTGAGGAGGTGACAACGACGCCCGACAAGCAGTGAGTTCAAGACTGGTAGAAACGCGCCGAAACTCATACTTAACTCATGAACCCTCTCGTTCCGAGACGTTGTGTTCACCTCCGGAATTTTTGAGGAGCATGTGTACAAAGTGTATTAAAGTGGTTAATAAAGAACTAAAGAACACCGTTCGATTTCAGACACGTTCCAGTCTTCGGACGGTTCTGGATTCGTTTGCTGCAATTAATTAAAGTTGCTTTGCTTTTTCACAGGAGACCAACACACTTCTTGTTTCCAGGGTGTCACCCAAGCCATATTGACTATGTGGCAATACTATCACCCCTACTAAATTGTACCACAATGTAGGTACGTTAAAGACCACGAAGTCACCGCGATGTCGGCCAAACCCACAGATTTATAAAACATAATGGCCGCACCATTGCCAAACGACGAACACGCATGGAACTTTGACATCGGTCGAACTCACTTACTGTTCCTTGAAAGTCTATATTTTCTTTGTAGGTAAGTGTTTATTTTTCAATACTGATTGTCTTGAGAAAGGCGTCGTAATGACAGCCTTTTAAAGGACGTGGTATCGTGATAACAACGACGTCCATAAAGACGTCATTTTTTAAACACTGACGTTTCCGACCAAAAGTGCCCACAAGGGTATTACGTATCTTAAAAAGTGACGGTATATCAATTTTTTGGACATTATACTAGTTTTTTTGACATTATGTATGTTTTTCTACAAGATTTTAACTTAGCACTTAGTTGTACGTGTTGCATAAACGTCATGAGGCTTCAGTAACCGATGTTTGGCTCTGATGTGATTCAAATCTCCTTCAGAGATGCATATGCAAATTTGATGGATCTAAAAAGTGAGAGAGATAGGAAATAATTATATTCATCGTATGTACACTGTCGAATTACAAGTCATATACAATGCTGACAGTAATTAAACACAACGCGGCCGCGGTGATGATTTCCCGTAATTCTCCTCAATGTTTTTGGTAATTTGACTTTGAACATAACCTGTTTTCAGAAAGGGCATTTTATACACATGCAGACCAATACACAGATGCGATCTTGCTATTCAACCAAGTTTCTTCTCAGAGATAAAAACTAAAGACCACTCGGCTTCACAAAACTTATGCAACCAACAATGCGTATCGTTGAGTGATTCCTCCATAGATGGATGTTCACAACCATCCCAGTGGGCAAACGTGGAATGGCTATTTGCGCGCTAAAAACTACCTAGTCTGAAAGATGACATCTTATAGGTTTCTTTGACGTCCTATAGGTTTCTTACGCAATACTCGTGCCGGATAATGATGCCACGTAGGACTCGCAGTGCTTCATGTCGCCTTTTATGGCTTATCTGTTTGTGCCTGATTAAACAATCTGAGGACATTGTTCGGTGTAAAGCTGTTAATAAACTTTGTGAGACTGCTGGTAAGCAAGAACAGGCTCAGACTGGTTAAGTGTTCTGTGGTTTGACATGTCTCATATTGGCAAACCAGATTACCGCGGCTCTGCAGCAAATTGCAGTGATGCTTTTTATACCAATATAAATGACCATAATTATGTTATTAGGAAGTTTTTCCGTTGACCACTGGTCTGATATCATGTGTTCGCCATACCCCAGTTCTCTGGCATAGTACGTGATTCCACGGCATCAAGATTAACAGAATTTGGTTTACCATATTTTGACGCCGATATTCAAGCTCTTTGGTTTTTACAAAAAAGCATGTTACGCTTTAACAGCAGGTGGGATAGGAGGTGTAACATTCTTATGTGAAGAAGATTCGCTATCGAATAAGCTTAGGAAGCATAAAAGGCCATAATAGCTGAATAAAATCTTGTTTTTTAATTAATTTTTTTCTTTTATTTATTAATGTCTGGTTTTGCTTATGTGTACGAAAACATGTGTTTGTACTACATTTGAGAAACAAATCGAATTATATATGAAATAAAAAGGGACATGAGTTACCAGACCGTTGCTTCCATTTGTTTAATCAGTAATTAAATTGATTTTAGTAGTAACGGTCTGGTGAGTCATATTCTTTTTTGTATAATGAAACGCGTATAAACAAGTTATTTCAGTTTTGAAGCTCTCTCGCTGTAGTGAATCAAAATTTAGTTTATCTGATTGCCCTGCGAGTCGTTTTGTCTTCGCAGCATTATCCATTCATCTTGCGTCTCTCTTTTTTCTTGCTTAATGAGTACCTAGCAATTCTCATCCATAGATAAATGATGGAAACAAAAAAACACCTAGATCGATAGTAATTTCATTATGTCAGTTTGACATCGGCATGATCTTGGAAAATTGCTTTCACTTTTAACAGAACGAAAACATTTGTACCTTACTTTCTTTGGATGGACCAGCCCAAGTAGAATCGCCTGTATGTTGCATTCACAATTTTGAGCTTATCAGTTAGACACCAGGCAACTAGATATTTTAATTTACTGATAAATTTAGGTGGAAACGTCATTATCGTGATGTAAGGTCAAATATATTGTGATATACGTATGGTATAATTAGTGGATTCCACATGAAAATCCTGGCACCTTTGCATGCTTTGTCAGGAAAATACTAATATAATGCGAGATGTCATCAACTGTCAATCTAGCAGCTTAAGCCGATTTTAAGTATGCAGTTGAATTCTGGCCACTGATTTTGATATGCTGGATCGAACCAAATCACATGCTTGCTCCTTCTAACTAGTTCAAATTCATTGGATTGGCATGTTTTTGCAACCGATATCAATTCGCGCCAATGCAAAGAGTGGGGATAGACTCTCTGGACTCTACTTTCTGGATCTAAAATGAAAGTATACCTACTACCTACGTGTTGTAGCAAATAAATCGGTTTCTTCAAGATATTAATGTTTAATTTACAAATATATACAATATAATAACTATTTATAACAATCAAATAAGAAGTAAGAACTTTGTACAAATACTGACGATAAGTAATAATAGAGTAACAGGCATTTGCCATGATAGATTCTCTCTCGACAGGTGTTGAAGTGGCACTGTTATTTATTTTGTAGTGTAATGTTTTTTGATAGAACCCTAGTCGACTTTTAGCTATCGTTTACGTTACGGTTTTCAAAATGGTGCGTATTAGTAACTGGTGTATAAAGCTTTTCTTAAGCATAGGATGAGACATAGAGTGGACATTCTAGAGGAAATTCTTTCTAAGATCACATTGTTCGGACAGTTTTGAGAAAACCAGCTTCGTTGCGAAAATGATGGACAAGAAGAAGTAACAGTTTTTGATAGTACAATTGTGGCTCCTCATTCTCCGAAAAATGTTCAAAATTACTAGCTCAATTCCAAAACTACATTTTTCTCTTATACACTAACGAGTTTTTTCAAACAGTCGTACATTGGTCATTTCTTGTCGAGTTCCAGCGTCTTCAGTATGGTTGCAATACAGCAATATTTAAAGGTCCCTAGATAAGACAAGACGAGTACCCTGATGACATGCATGTTGCCCGTGCTTACATCTTCTAGGTTATTCTCCCGATCATTCGCTATGATCATCTAGAGCTACAAGTCTGCTCAGGTCTAGTGGAAAATCAGATAATTGCTGACTGTGAGTAAATATATTATACATTCTTAATAGATTATATAGTTACAATCGAGTAGCCAGCATCGTACCCCAATATTTTCAGTTTGACCCGGATATGTTACCACACGTGTTTAAAATTTCCAACCAGATTCAGATTATCTATTAATGCCGAACTATCGGAATCTTACTTAGTTCAATATAATGTAGGGGAAATAAACTGCGTATGCTTTGTTCATTCTTGCCGGTCTGCCTAGCCCTACTGATTAAAAATTCTGACAAGCTATACGGTGTATGCCTATTAGGCATATTTCCTCTGCGTTGAATGATTTGATTATATATTTTTTATACCTACAAATTGCGCCACTGCAGGGCGCATATATGCGCAAAGAATTTGTTACCTGAACGGCTGGGAGGTCATTAATAACGCCCCCCAATGCAACAAGTGCGACTACCAGTTTAATATAATTTATTGAATATAAATAATTAAATACTGTAACAACATGATGGCTGTAGCTATTCAGATGTGAAATAAAGGAAAGTCGTATACTACTCGTTTGCGAAAATGAAGATATTTCGTGGATTGAAGGCTATCATCTCTCTTTACTACCATGTCCTCAAACAAATAGTACCACGGCATATGAAAGTTGTCCTACTTAAAAAAATAAATTAAACCGACAATACCTTTCGTCAAACATGTTAATTATATTACATCACCAGCTTTAAGGGCTTCCATAGCCGGCCAGTCGAATGATACGACAGCGTAGGAAAGTTTATTCTATACCTCGTTTTGATTTTCGCCAAATCAACAATACTTTTTCACTGATATTCGTTCTACTCTACAGTGTTATGTCAGGGTAAATGGATTTTCATAGCCGGCAAACAAGTAACATTTTGGAGCAATAGGACAATACAGATACCACAGCTTATAAAAGTTGAGTCTGGTACTTGATACATATGTCCATAGTTGCATGAGACGTACAGAGTCAACCTACTTGACGCCATTTGTAACAGGACAAATACGAAATAGCCTAGAATTTGAATGTATTACCCCTTTATACTGAAAACACATGATTTTAATGCAAGCAACCTCATATGGTATCTGGCAATCATACGAGTAATACAAGTCATTTAATTCTGGATAAGTGATACTGTTTTGCCTATGCTCCAGCTTATTTGCTTTGAATCTATGTTTATGGATGTAACAAGCATTTCACATCACGACTATGTACAGACATTAGACTAATTTAAGTGCAAGGTATAGTACGCTATTCATACCGAACCACCTATAATATGTTATAATTACTAAGAAAGGAACATTTTGTGTATGGATGTACTACATATATTTAGTGATGGCTACCTATACACATCATTATACAAATTACCATCTTACATTAACGAGGCATTTCCAGGTCGTGACTAAAAATGTACTCAGTGTTTCAGGACCGTAACTTAACATAACGCAACATAGACAATAGGTAGAATGATATGGGAATCGCATTATGGCTCAGATTAACGTTAATCCGCTATTTGTATACACACAGATCATTAACTTAAATTTAAAAATATATAACTTGACGAAGTTAACGTTGAAGTGTACCATAATGCAAATACCATAGTCCTCCAAAAATGTAGGTGACTCTGCACTTTCCTCGCAACGCTGTCATCAGTTCATGGATGACAGCACAAGTCTAAGATAAAGGTTACCTATGAACATGTAAAACAGAAACTAAACGGATCGAGAGAGAGAGAGAGAGAGAGAGAGAGAGAGAGAGAGAGAGAGACGCATATCGAAGTTATTCCTGTATTAAGGTTTAAGGACAAATGTACGGGGAAATCTATGATACAAGTCTAATAGGTGCATAGTTTTCAGGGGTTGGAAGCGTATAAATATTATACCACTATAAAAATTCCAATATACCCTCCCCCACCTCTAACCACCGCGAACCCATAATTTACAACCCTTAAAAATATTTATCTGAAAATGATCAGGGGACTTTGAAAAGTCCAAAAAGTTTGACAGAGGAGAGTCGATTTGAGTTTTGCATTTGCAGCTAAACACCTAACCTCGATTTATTCTGAAACTTTCCGTAATTCTAGTCATAACGATTATCAAAATCGGGAATACATCTTTTCTTTAAAGTTACAGAATGCCACTAAGTTGAAGAGAAGCTTTACTTATGAAGACGCTATCCATATTATGTATAATTGTACTTAATGCCCAGATTTATAAGATATAAATAAGATTGTAATGACACTATCTTTGGATAAAACAGCAAGGAAGACTACAAAGGTTGACGCGGGAAACAGTTGTAAGCGTTTACTTAAAAATACCATGAGTATTCGTTTAAATGGTACATTTGGAGACTAGATCACAGGGATGGTACTCAAAACGACGCGAAATTACGGGAAACACGAAATTCACGAGATGTTCACCTAATAGCTGATTGTTCATTTTTATAACCTGTAAGAGTTTCATTCCTCACATACAGCCACATACAAACTTCAAAGGTCTAGAACAATTAACCGTCATTAGACTATTTAATAAATTGGGTCATGTCAAACATCTTTTTTACACAATATCCTCCAAGTTACAAACAATCCCAGGATTTACAGTCACTCAAGGTACAGAGTAATATAATGATTTGACTTTAATTTTTTCTTAATGCGATGTGACTATTTGGTACCTTGCATCCTGGAGCGTAGCAATATTTCACGAAACGTTCCTTTTTAATGAGTGCTCCATAAGAAACGCGTGTTAGTGTTTGAATACACTTACTATACTAGTTCAAACGCTGTCAGCATGGTGATGCCTGAGTAATTGACCCTCGCCGATATAACTGCTTACGATTTAAGGATGACAATGAATAAGTTAAGCACTTTACGTTACGTTACGTCACTGAAACTTTAGTTTAAAGATCCTCATAGAATGCGAACTTCCTATCTATCGGTAGTTTGGTCCAATTCCAAATCAGTATGGAACCCACTCACACTGAATAACTCTTTGAGTAATCATCACGATCTTATTATTTTCACACACTTAGTTGTCTAATCAATATATGTCACTAAAAGTGAGCGTCTGTGAATTTTGGGAATGTAAGTGATGATGCAGGTCATCTAACGACTGATGAGATAACGTGCTGCCTTCTATGATGCCGGATCCCACTGATGGAGGCCCGCTAGTTGGTTGTGTTGGAACGTTGTTATTGTTGTTGGTACCTTCTTGTCTCATCAGGTTTCTCCGCCATTTTGCCCGGGCATTCTGGAACCACACCTACAAGAGGAACGGATGACGTCAGTTAGGTTGAGACATAAGATAAATATGCTATAATCAGTGGGGGCTTCGGAGATATTAGGAGCCAATCAGGATATACAGACTATGTACTTGTAAATATGGTTTATAATCAACTTTCATTTTTAACGAATTCGGATACAATTGTTATAAGGTATCTGTGACAGATGTCAAGTTGTAATGCTAATAGATCTCACACCCAGGGATGTGTAAGTAAGTTATACATGACTTTGTAGTTTTCAGCGCCATAATAACTATGTCAAAAATGCCTACTAAAATAGTTGCACTGTAACTGGTGTAACAATATACGGATTATATTATCTGGCCCTGTCAAATATGTACCACATATCGTATTAGATATAAGAACAAGATAAGCTTTTTTCTTAGTTAACAATGGCAATCCAAATACCGTATATTCAACCTTCTAATAGCAGCGAATTGAGTTTTAATACAAAAACAGCAAAAATGCTTTGGCGATTTCAGACTGAAGGAAAAAAGCTTCAGCATTTGGTATTAGAAAGTAGTTGAGGAGAGTGTTGTCTGTACATTAGAGTACCAATAATCTGTGGTAAGAAATTTAAAAAAATAGCAGGGCAACTGTTGCTTTCAAAAACAGAAATGTCACAATTTTGTAGCTCTTCATTATGGGCACCAGTGGCGAAGCAGTATCAGGCATGACTTGAACAAGAAATTAAGTGTTATCGTGTACGGAAGAAATGTGTATATTGGGATTATAGTTTTTTATATTGAAGCAGCCGCGAAGGCAGAAAACTAAATACCGGGGCACCGCAACTGCTATAAGCAGCTTAATTACACCCTGTGAATACGATTTTTAAACTGGCAAAGTTAGAACAAATGGGTAACTCAGGTAGATTGTCGCACAATCTCTATGCCATAGGAACAAAGGCGCGTTTAAAACGGACAGTTCTGTATGGAAGAAGTTTAACAGAGTTGGAATGGGAGGCAGAAGCCGAGCTGGTCCGTCTGACAGGCCCAACGCACGGCTGCATCTTAGAGGTGAGCTCTGAGGAGAAGCAAAACCTGCTGATATAGCGGTAGAAGAGAGAAGTATCAGCGATCAGGCGGACAGCCATCCTCTGAGCCGCATCGAGTATGGGCAATGTAGATTGGTGGCAGCATCCTAAATATGTAAGCAGTACTTGACTATAGGTCTTATCTGAGCAGTGATAACTTCATATCTCTCATAAGAGAGGGAGCCGCTACCAGTCATTTTCTTTCCAGCACACTAAATGCCTGCGTGTAGAGCGCTGTCAATTACGGCGGATATCTTGCGAATGGACAGAAAGTCAGTCACAAAGGGTGTGCTATACGAGTGGTATCTAGCTAAATCAACAACAGAAGAGGTTGATGACGCCGCGGCTGGAAAATGTCGACTGCGAATAGGCGTAACATCTGAACCTATGCTGTGGTGCGAATTCCTCCATATCTGTCGGGCCGAGTCAAACCACATTTTTAAATTTCCTCTTTATTGTTGTTCTTCAAGTAACACATGACTTCTTTTTGGCTAGATATTTCATTTATCTGCTTTTAATGTGACATTTCTTTTGTTTTTGTCCTTCCATTCGTATACAGGCTGTTACTACAATGGTCTGAAAGGTCTGTATCATGCTGAAATTTTGCGGTGTAACCATTTTAGTTTTCGGATTTCACCGCGCAAAACCAGCAAAGCCCAGGACCGCCCGAAGTGGGCATTTCCGTTTCCAAAAGAACGTCCAGCCCTCCAAAGCGACTAGCGGCCACGAGGTTATCTGTAATTCATCCATGGGTCAGACAACTCACCCCCGTCCATCGTCCCGAAAAGACCACAAGTCCCCTGAAAACGGGAAATCCTACCCAGAAGTTACGTAGTAACACATCGGTTAGTTGTTATGCAATATTCTACCAAAACGCTGAATGCATATTGTTTATGGATCTGAAATGCAAGAAATGGACGTTTAATGAATGCGTCAGGCTGAGTATTGCCTAACAATTATCACAGCGGTCAACAGACATGGCGACACTGGCTATGTTAACACTGTTGCTAGCTAAGCTCTTAGATAGCGCATAGGTCAAAGTGTAAATGGGCTCAGAGCAGCTACAACGCATAGAACAACTCGAATTATTGGTGACATGTGGTATTTAGCTAAGCATATGGCTTGGGAGGGACTGATTTTTCGGGAAAAGTACAATACATCTTATATAATTTTTGATTCCTGTTTACTCACCACATTGTTTCATTTTTAAAAAATTAACAACTTATTTTTAGTCTAACTTACAACCTGACCTGACGTAACAAGCATTCCATTTTAAGTGGTTTCAGCCATGATTAGCCCACATTCAATCTATTCCTTAATGTAGTTTAGATCAAATCAAATAACTTTTACTAGATTATCAACAGATGAAAAGCCTACCTGTAACACTCGTTTTGATAGTCCAGTCTTTTGAGCTAACTGTTTCAAATCCTTAGCGTCTGGATTTTGGTTGATCGCAAAGTAGGTCTTCATCGTCCTCAACTGGTGGTGCTTGAATGATGTTCGCATCCTTTTCGTCCTTTGTGTCTGTTGGCCATTACTGGAACCTGGCGATGTTACAGACGAGTCATAAGAGAGGGACTCCATCGAAGAGGATAATTCTCCTTGCTGGAGCATTTCTGTAACAAATTGATATAGGATTCAAATCTTCAGTAGTACATAGTAGACAACTATAACAAAAAATATTCATATCATTAGGACTGCTGAAGGTTTCCGGAAAAAAAAGAAAGTTTTTTGTTCCCAGTAAAGGTCGGAGACGAACAACAATAAATCGCATCTTTACAGATGATGATTACACTTGACAGATGAGAGGTAAAGATAACCTATAAATTCCAGTTAGTGACAATTTAGCGTTTTTAGGTATTCTTTGTGGACATTTGTTGAACAATAAGACTAGATTTTTTTCAGTACCTATTGCTAAAGTTACAAATTCAAAGTTTGGACCATTAAAATTCGTTCGTTGTTGTGCCCTTGTGAAGAGCAACAGTAACACAGAATCCAAGGCAATTCAAATACAATTTTGTCGAAAACAAACACAAGAAGTGTCAATAACATCAAAGAAACTTCAAACACACAAAATGATCGACGGCAACGCGCAACACCACTGAAACCCAACTAATATGAGGCTATGTTTCCCCTAGATCCGAGACGTCATGTGACTATCCTTTATCCAGTTTTGTTTCATCTACTAGCCGCTTTGTAGGTTTTTCCACGGTTTCTGTCGAATCACTGTGAAACTACAAGAATACTTTCATACATCCGTCTCCCTCACACATACATATACAATAGGTCCCTTTGTGTGGCCGTTTGTTGGTGTAAGCAACAGATACAACTTTCACTTTTTCTCACCGCCTTCCAAACTTCCTCGACAACGTATGAGTCTTCCATGAGATTTGTTTACCTCTGTCGATCATCAACTTTACTAAAAATTTTGTCAGAAAGTCAGTGAAAGCAATGATCCTCGATCATCGAGATGTGTGTGTGTGTGCAAGAGCGAGTACCAGCTGCGCATAGTAAAATTGTGATGTAACCGCCAAAAATAGCGTAAAATAACATAATGGGTTTGCCAGTTTCGCATTTTTATGATTTGACCTACTGAGCGCTGTGTCAAGTGCATGATAAATAAGAAATGGACTTGCAATCCTTTCAATATAGCTCAAAATATCTTCGTACTTTTGAGGGCGATCGGAAGTAAATGCTTATTGTGTTTACAAATATAATGATGGTCCAAAAATAAATTACTTAAATCAATCTTAATGGAAATAAACGTGATGAGCATTACTATATTCTGCAATTACCAGATGCATACTGCAGTATACAAAAGAGTAAGGGAACTAATTTTTGCATTTCAATAATTGTTTTCAACAGGCTGCTTTCAGATGCCTTTATTCAGTAATACTTGGTTGTACAAATAAGTATTGGAATTCTCTGAGAATGATATGATCCATCTTGACGATTTTTGATCTAACCGTATCCTGATAACCTCGTGTGACGCAATTTGGGTTAACCGCATTAGATATATGTACTTTTAAATAACCTTAATGTAATTGAATCATATCCTCAGGCGAATACGTGAAGATGCAACAATGGTTTATAGAACCTTGTGGCATCACCTAAACTGTGGCCGCCACGCCGCTGCCCTGCTGGTAGCACAAAAAGTCGTTCGGGTTCGATTTTCAGCTGTTTCACTCGAATCGTCCCCAGTCGATTTCCGTTCCGAAGTTCTTCGCAGAACCACTTTTTGTGTCCGCGCCGTAGCAACAGATCATTGGCTTGAAAAATAATAATGGACATTCTGAGACAGGCAACGTTTTTGCAGTCAGCAGTCGATGGAAACAATTAGTCGGGCATTTAGATTAGAGCTAATTGTTATGGCTGACTTTGTTGGTTTAATGGACTGGTCTGATGTCACGCCGACACACGCAGCGAGCGACCAAGTTTCCTAGCTGTCTGCATCGCTTATCTGAAGCCACCGTTTTGGATGCATTTTTTTCTGGTGTGGACGTGCAAGCATTTAGATTATCAAATGCGTACGGATTTCACCTATTGGTACAGACAGCGCGGTGGCGTAGTGGTGTGCGCTACAGATCTACTATAATCCGTCGGAAATCCGTCCCAAGCGATTTTTTCTCTTGGATCTTGTGATTGTCCGTGGGTAGTAGATGTTCTCAGACTGTTGAGCGAGGAGGTACCACCCGGCGGATTTCTAAGGCGGCACACATGCGAAACAGCTTTTACAATTTACAATAAATTGTAGGACGCCTTTATGGCCTCCTTGAATCCCATAGTATTTTCTCTCCTTCAGAAAGCTGGGGTATTTCAAGATTTTTACCGTCCTAAGTCAGCGTCGGCGCTCTCCTATCGTGGAGTTATGTTTTCTTTTTGAATTGTAGGGAATTTCAGAGTGATAAAACAGATTTTATGAATCAAGAGCATGAACAATTTTATGCAAATAGTTTTTTTGCGACATCACCTCAAAATAGAGGGCCGTCACGGAACAGTTACTTTTGCTTCCTTCTGGGTGTGAAAAAACTGGAAGAAACTCGAACTAAAAAGGCAAATAGGATACTGAGGGTACGACCGGTAAGGTCACGCTTATACACTTTTTAAGTGTCTTCTTCAAGCGAGTCTTCAGCTCTAATGCCAAACGCGACGTCTTGAAGAGAGAAAAAATGTAACACACAGTAGTCAAAGCGTCGCACCGACTTTTTTAACACCATTCGGTTCATTTTTCTGATCAAAATCCAAAAACTATTTACCTGTGTGCTCATCAAAAATTGCGAAACTGTCGTTGTTTCCATTTTCTTAGTTACCTCGATGTACAATCTTGCTCGTACTTGACCGATTTCGTGTCTCTCACCTTTTCAGAGATCGCAAAGGTAAGGGAACAATTTAAAGCACATATGTCTTCCACTAACCATGTTAGCATCATAAGGGGAAGACAAACAGTATTTTTAGACGATAATGTGGCTAGCGAAAGGGGTGTTAAGAATCAGTGCTGAATTTGCTCAACGGAAACTTCGGATGATATGAAATTATTGCTACGGGGATGTGTTGTTAGAAAGTTCAGTACCATCTTTTTTTCCTAGCGTTTAGGCAAAATTTGTTGTGAAAAGACGCTCAAAACAAAACCTTTTCCGACCGTAATCCTTTTCCTAAGTCAGGCGTACGAGTAAATGGCCTGTACGCAGGGCAGGCCTAATGCGTGGCAGCCCCATAACCCTTTCGTGGGCGCGAATAAGATAATTTCAATATTCAAGATATTATAAATGAAATAAGATTAAAAACGTATTAATTTTATGAATTTATTTAATTTTTTTCTCCATTATCAATCTTCGTGAAGTTATTCATTGTGGGAAGTATCATTCCCACCGCCTATGTACTTTCATAGATTTTATCAAAAGAAAAAGAAACAAAAGGTGAAATATTAATTTTTTTTATTAAAATATAGATACAAAAATAAAAATGCAAGGCAAATAAAATAAACAATGGCTTAATTACTATTTGCCGTGGAATCTGTTGAAACAAGGTTGGATGCATAAAGGAACTTGGCATGATGAACACATGTATCTTGTTCTTTTTTCTGCGGCTTTGGTGCTGCAAAGTCTGCACCGTTTATACGTTGCTTGTTGGATAGGAAGATGTTTACCAACGTCAGCTAAACGAACCTCGTCAGGCACAGCTCGCTTATTCGAAAGAAATTGTACAGGTTTGTTTCTGCATTTCCTAGATGTGTAACCGTTTATAAGTTGCCTTGCCAAATTGTTTCTAAATGACAACTGATCGACAGTTCGCTTTCGATTGATTTTCATTAATATAAACGAATTGACAATAGACATATCTATCAGATAATACAAAACAGCATACCGTTCGTGAAGCTGGTCGAACTTATCTACACCTCCCATTATTCGATTGTATTCAGCTACCACTTTCGGGCAAAATTTCGCCAGCCTTGTTTCTTCGTAATACAGTTGTTGTATCTTTAGGACAAAAGTAATTTGTAAGAACATACACATTTTTACTGTCCATCCATTTGATAGCGGATAGTTTTCCTTTTGTTTCGAACATAAATTCTCCACGCTGAAGTTTCGTTTTATCCTTATGTATATCTGGCAAGTTCTTTCGATTTGATCGCACTGTACCTAGAGCATATATTCCGTCCTTTAGCAAAGTTTCCATTAGACTTACACTAGTAAAGAAATTGTCAAATGCTACCATACAATCCTTATTTTTCAGAGAAGAAGTAAGATTTATTACTACCCTTTCTCCTAAGCCATAATTTTGCTTTTCTGAATCGGAGGTTTTACCTGTGTATATATCAAACTTACATATATACCCTGTAGCAGAGTCAGCTAAACACCAAACCTTGTATCCTCGTTTGACCGGCTTCATAGACATATATTGCTTTATTGAGGAACGTCCTTTGAAGGCGATCATTGATTCGTCCACACCCAGGTAACTAGAGTGATTGTATGCCTTGGGGAATGACTCATTGAGGATACCAATCAGGAGCCTTTCCTTGTGTAATTTGTCGTACCCTGATTCGTGCTTTGGTATAACTTTGGTGTTGTCATTTACATGAATATTCTCTATTAGTTTTTTATACCTCTTGGAAGGCATGACTTGTGCCACTGGCGAAACTGTCAAAAATTGATCACTTGACCAATAATTGGCCAAATGCGGAAGTTGATGTATTCCCATTATTATCATAACTCCTATAAGAGCTTTGATCTCTTCTATGGAAGTGTGCTCCCAATTATTTGAAGAGCCTGGACCCGTCTTCTTGTTACTCTCCCTCGGAAGGTCTTGACAAGCATACAAATTAGTTTGGTCGACAATGAATTCCAGAATGTCCTCGTTTAGTATTTGATTGAAGTAAACAATTTCTTTAGCGTGTTCAGAAATTTGTACAACAGGTTCAGGAGTTTTACAGAAGTCTATATTTTTGTCATGTATATGTCACAGCTTGGCAACCAAGATCGCTTTTCATTATCTTTATCTCGGGCCTCATCGTCACTGAGTGATTCCTGAATTGATACCAACTCTGGTGTTACCGAGTGTAAAAATTCGATATCCGGTTCTGGCGACAAGGGTACAGTAACGTTCCTAGCTGAAGTTG